TTTTCTATCATTTTTCAGCTCTTAATCCCTCAACAAAGTAACATTTTTGCACGTGCCTTGCTTTTCACATGCTTATATATGTGGACTGATTTAATTCTGTATCTTTAACTCCAAATTTGGGATATTACAGTCAGAGGATGAACGCGAAATGTGCGCCAGGATAGTCTACTGCACAAACATTGATAAGAAGGTATAAATAGAATCTTCTTTCTTTCTTTCTTTCTTTCATTCATTCATTCATCCTTTTTCTTTCTTTTTTTTTTTCGGATGACACGTGTAGCTACTTGCACCCAAGGGTTTAGTATTCATTCATTCATTCTTTTTCTCTTCTTTTTTATTTTATTTATTTATTTTTTTTTTTTTGGGATGACACGTGTAGCTACTTGCACCCAAGGGTTTAGTATTCATTACTGAGATTTAGCCTAATATTCAATGTTCTGAGAATTTTGTATAATTTTTTATAGTTCGCCTCGTTAAATTGGCTCGAGCTTGAGGCCTTAATGAGCCGAGCTGGAACTCGTTTATTTAACGAGTCGAACTCTGTTCGGCTCGTTAAGGGCTCGAGCACCCTAATCTCAACTTCGACTCTGTTCGTTTACAGGCCTACTTCATGTGTGCATTTTTGTTTAAAAGTGTGATTCATTGATCCTTAAGCTGCTTTAAACCCGTGCGACTCAAAAGTATTCTCGTAAAAAGGCACTTGTGGATAAAAGTCAAAACAATGAATTCCTTGGCATTTTAAAGCGACGGATGTTTGACAGATGTTTTTTTCCTTCCTGTTTAAACCTTCACAGGGTTTTGGTTTATAAAATTATCTCAATAGATAGTGTATGCTTTTTGGTTAACAAAAAATGATAATCGAGTTAATTGATATTGTCCTTAGGGATTTTATTTCCTGTATTCGTAATGTTTGTCTTTTCATTTCTTTGTGAAGAATAATTGTGGCATCGACTGTTTTATGCAGCGATACATGGACTCTGAGATTCGGGCAATCATGGCGAGTACATGCCACTGGACAATCAAGGGGAGATTCCCACTCACACGACTTAAGGGCATGTTTAGACATGACTATACATTGTGAGAACGGTCGAGGAAAATAGAAAATTGAAATAGTCACTTCATCACCTACAATTAATTCGGTTTATGGGGTGTGTGCTGCCTTATGTTCATGTATAGAATCCATGTTGACAATTAATAATATTTGTTCACTTCACGTACAGGTAAAACCAATTATGTAACTAACCAATAATAACTTTATTATACATGTAGTTAGTGGATGTTAGTCGAGATAACAAGTGCAAGTCCGATCCTTCACATTGACGACAAAATTCTTGACCTCGTCTTCACGTGGTAAACGTAGTGATTGATATTTGAAGCTTTCATTTGGTCCGTTTCGGTTTTATAATCCATCAATTCGCACTTTACCAACGTCCATCAGAAAAAATAAATGAATAAAAAAGAAAATTTTAGTACAAATATTTTCTTCAACTTTTTTTTTTACCTTCAGATGTGTTTGGACAAAAATATATGAATACAAGGCACATTTTCTTGTTCAATAAACATGTTTTTTGAGCAACAAATGAGTTTTTTGAGCAAGAAACGGGTTTCTTGTTCAAAAGAAATAGGTTTCTTGAGCAACAAACGAGTTTCTTGGAAAGAAACATGTTTCTTGCTCACGAAATGAGCTTTTTGAGCAAGAAACGAGTTTCTTGTTTAAAAGAAATAAGTTTCTTGAGCAACAAACTAGTTTCTTGGAAAGAAACATGTTTTTTGCTCAAGAAACGGGTTTCTTACCAAGAAACAGGTTTCTTGAGCAAAAAACTAGTTTCTTGAGCAAGAAACGAGTTTCTTGTCAAGAAACTAGTTTCCATCAATTCGCACTTTACCAACGTCCATCTGAAAAAATAAATAAATAAAAAAGAAAATTTTAGTACAAATATTTTCTTCAACTTTTTTTTTTACCTTCAGATGTGTTTGGACAAAAATATATGAATACAAGACACATTTTCTTGTTCAAT